ATAATTACTACTGTAAGAAAAAAAAAAGCAAACATTTACAGTAGTGTAAAATTACTGCATAAATTATGGTAATACATGCAATACTTTATAAATTCACAGCATACCAAGTTCTACTGTAGTAAGTCACAGTAATATAATCACTACTGTACAAAACAAAACAAGATTTTACATTGGTGAGAAATTTCACAATGACTTATTGTGTACTGGATAAAAACATACTGCAGAAATTCACAATAATAATTTAAATTCACAGTGACATGTGTACCATAGGGAATTGCAGTACCTATTACAGTACTGTAGAAATTCACAATAATATATTGGAATTTAAAGCAACATATTATTTATTGTTGTAACAAAATGTAAATACTTTAAAAGCTCACAGTAACCATTACAGTATACTGTTGAAATTCAGTTACATATTGTGTACTATAGAAACCTCAACCAGCTGTAAAATGTCACAGTAACTCATCACGTACTGTGTAAAACTACAACCAAAGGTAATTTCAGAGTGACATCGTGCACTTCGGGAAACCACATCAAGCAACATGATACTGTAAAAATTCACAGTAATTGTTTTAATTGTACAATGTATTTTTAAGTAATTATAGCAACCAGTACATTACTGTAAAGATTTGCAGTAACATCATATATAACCATTGGGTATAGCCTCTCCCTGGGCTGCCACCTTACCGTGGTGGAGGGGTTTGAGTGTCCCAATGATCCTAGGAGCTAAGTTGTCTGAGGCTTTATGCCTCTGGTAGGGTCACCCATGGCAAACAGGTTCTAGGTGAGGGATCAAAGAGCAGCCTGAAAACCTCTTATGATGAATAAATTCAATGGAAACTGTGTACCCTTGCTCGGACGTGGGTCACCGGGGCCCCCCTCTAGAGCCAGGCCTAGAGGTGGGATACGTTGGCGAGCCCGGCCGGTCACAGCCCGAAGAGGAAACGTGGGTTCCCCTTCCCATGGGCTCACCACTCATGGGAGGGGCCAAAGGGTCAGGTGCAGTGTGTGACAGGTGGTAGTCGAGGGCGGGGGACCTTGGCGGTCTGATCCTAGGCTAAAGAAGCTGGCTCTTGGCACATGGAATGTCGCCTCTCTGGTGGGGAAGGAGCCTGAGTTGGTGTGTGAGGTTGAGAGATTCTGACTAGATATAGTCAGTCTCACCTCAACGCATGGCTCTGGCTCTGGAACCAGTTTCTTTGAGAGGGGTTGGACACTCTACCACTCTGGAGTTGCTCCCACTGAGAGGCGCCGAGCAGGGCATACTAGTTGCCCCCCATCTTGGTGCCTGTACGTTGGAGTTTACCCCGGTGAATGAGAGGGTATCATCCCTCCGCCTACGTGTGGGGGGGACAGGTTCTGACTGCGGTCTGTGCTTATGCACCAAACTACAGTTCAGACTACCCACCCTTTTTGGAGACCTTGGAGGGGGTGCTGGAGAGTGCTCCTTCCAGTGACTCCCTCGTTCTGCTGGGGGACTTTAACGCTCATGTAGGCAACAACAGTGAGACCTGGAGAGGTGTGGTTGGGAGGAACGGCCCCCCTGATCTGAATTCAAGTGGTGTTTTGTTGTTGGACTTCTGTGCCAGTCATGGATTGTCCATAATGAACACCATGTTCAAACATAAAGGTGTCCATATGTGCTCTTGGCACTACGATACCTTGGCCTCAGCTTGATGATCAACTTTGTTGTTGTTTCATCAGACCTGCGGCCGTATGTCTTGGACACTCAGGTGAAGAGAGGGGCGGAGCTGTCAACTGACCACTACCTGGTGGTGAGTTGGCTCAGATGGTGGGGGAGGATGCCGGTCAGACCAGGCAGGCCCAAACGTATCGCAAGAGTATGCTGGGAACGCCTGGCAGAGTCTCCTGTCAAAAGGAGCTTCAATTCTCATCTCCAACAGAACTTCCAAAATGTTCCAGGGGAGGCGGGGGACATTGAGTCTGAATGGACCCTGTTCTGTGCCTCCATTGTTGAGGCGGCTGACCGGAGCTGTGGTCGCAGGATCGTCAGTGCCTGTCGTGGTGGCAACTCCCGAACCCGCTGATGGATACCGGTGGTTAGGGATGCTGTCAAGCTGAAGAAAGAGTCCTATCAGGCCTTTTTGGCCTGTGGGACTCCAGAGGCAGCTGACGAGTACTGACGGTCCAAGCGGAACGCGGCTTGGGTGGTCGTTGAGGCAAAAACCTGGGCGTGGGAGGAGTTTGGTGAGACCATGGAGCAAGACTTCCGTATGGCTTCAAGGAGATTCTCGTCCACCATTCGGCGCTTTGGGGGGGGGGAGCAGTGCGCTACCAACACTATTTATAGTGGGGACGGTGTGCTGCTGACCTCTTACTCAGGACGTTGTGGATCGGTGGGCAGAATACTTCGAAGACCTCCTCAATCCCACCGACATATCTTCCAGTGAGGAAGCAGAGTCTGGGGACTTTGAGTTGGGCTCTCAAATCTCTGGTGCTGAGGTCACTGAGGTGGTTAAAAAGCTCCTCTGTGACAAGGCCCCAGGGGTGGATGAGATCCGCCTGGAGTTCTTTAAGGCTCTGGATGCTGTGGGGCTGTGTTGGCTGCAATATTGCGTGGACATCGGGGGCAGTTCCACTGGACTGGCAGATTGGGGTGGTGGTTGCCTTATTTTAAAAGGGAGACCGCAGGGTGTGTTCCAACTACAGGGGGATCACACTCCTGAACATTCATGGTAAGGTCTATTCAGGGGTTCTGGAGAGGAGGGTCGGTCGGATTGTTGAACCTCGAATTCAGGAGGAGCAATGTGGTTTTCGTCCTGGCCGTGGAACACTGGACCAGCTCTATACCCTTAGGAGGGTCCTGGAGGGTGCGTCAGAATTTGCCCAACCAATTTACATGTGTTTTGTGGACTTGGAGAAGGCGTTTGACCACGTCCCTCTGGGGGCCCTGTGGGGGGTACTCCGGGAGTATGGGGTACCAGGCCCTCTGATACGGGCTGTTAGGTCCCTGTATGACTGGTGTCAGAGCTTGGTCCGCATTGCTGGCAGTAAGTCGGGCTCGTTCCCAGTAAGAGTTGGACTCCGCCAAGGCTGCCCTTTGTCACAGATTCTGTTCATAACCTTTATGGAAAGGATTTCTAGGCGCAGCCAAGGTGTGGAGGGCATCCGTTTTGGTGGCCTGAGGATCAGTTCTCAGCTTTTTGCAGATGATGTGGTCCTGTTGGCTTCATCAGAACGTGATCTTCAGCTTTTGCTGGAGCGGTTCGCAGCCGAGTGTGAAGCAGCTGGGATGAGAATCATCTCCTCTAAATCTGAGACCATGGTCTTGATTTGGAAAAGGGTAGAATGCCTTCTTTGGCTCAGGGATGAGGTCCTACCCCAAATGGAGGTGTTTAAGTATCTCGGATTCTTGCTCACGAGTGAGGGAAAACTGGAGCGTGAGATCGATAGGCGGATTGGTGCTGCATCTGCAGTGATGCGGGCGTTGTACCAGTCTGTCGTAGTGAAGAGAGAGCTGAGTCAGAAGGCGAAGCTCTCCATTTACCGGTCGATCTACGTTCCTACCCTCACCTATGGTCACGAGCTTTGGGTAGTGACTGAAAGAACGAGATCGCGGATAAAAGCGGCCGAAATGAGTTTTCTCCGCAGAGTGGCTGGGCTCTCCCTTAGAGACAGGGTGAGAAGCTCTGTCATTCGGGAGGGGCTCGAAGTAGACCCGCTGCTCCTCCACATGGAGAGGAGCCAGTTGAGGTGGCTCGGGCATCTGGTCAGGATGCCTCCTTGACGCCTCCCTGGTGAGGTTTTCCGGGCACGTCCAACTGGGAGGAGGCCTAAAGGTAAACCCAGGACACGTTGGAGGGACTATGTCTCTCACCTGGCCAGGGAACGCCTTGGGATTCCCCCGGAGGAGCTGGCCCAAGTGGCTGGGGAGAGGGAAGTCTGGGCCTCTCGACTTAGGCTACTGTCCCTGCGACCTGACTCCAGATAAGCGGGTGAAAATGGATGGATGAATGGATGGGTGTTATAGTAACCTGAATGGTACTACAGAAATATCTAGTAATATGACATTTAAAGTAACATATTGTGTACTTTAGGACATGAAAGCAATGGTTAGGAATGGCTCCCTTTGTTTCAAAGTTAAACATCAAAACAGACAACACTGTCAAACAGGTTTTTCTTAATATCAAAATTTAGTATAATCATGTGGGGGGCTAAGGCCATTACTTGGTCTGAGTTTGGCTTCAGTGGGGTCAAAGGTCACCACAATGTGCAAAAAATCCCCTTTATGAAATTTTAAATGACAAAATGTAGGGAAAATGAATAACTCCCAAACTTTTTGACCTAAGGAGCTGAAATTTTAATGTCTAGATTGTGGTGCTCGAGCCATACACTGTGCAAATTTTTAGACTCGCAGCACCTTGGGAATGGTCAAAAGTCACAGAGGTCAGCCATTGAAGTGGCCTTTTGGCCTGCTTTTGTCTAACAACTCAACACAACTCATGCGTTGAGATTTAAACATGAAATCTGAGTATGTTGCTTATCAAACGTACTTTACCCGCATATCTCGGTGCAGTTATGATGGGACCTCTGGGGGTCTACTTGGCCTTCCAAAGTTCTTGCAGAGTTGTGTTTTGGGGTGATTGATAGGGTCTCTTCACAAGCCAACAGGCAAAGCTTCAAACAATTTGAAAAACTGACTTTTAACTCTATGGGTTAGCTGATGCCGTTACGTCTACGCTTTTATATGCTGTTATGTTTTTATTGTTTGTTTCTTAAACTTTTTACTGGTTTTATGTGTTTTTATTTTTATTGTACAGCACTTTGGTGGCATGTTTCATGCCTGTAAGGAGCTTTCTAAATAAAGGTGATTGACTGATTGATCGATAAGATTATTCTAAAGCGACCCCTGGGGATCATCTGACCTGAGTCTGGGGTCAAAGGTTGCTGCGTGGCAGCCAAAATGTATTTCTTTGAAATTTGAATTAAGAAAATGGTGGTAAAATGAATAACTTTAAAACTATTTGACGTATGAGGCTGAAATTTGTGTAGAATAGAATAGAATAGAATAGAATAATCCTTATGTCCCACAATGTGGATAGTGAGTCATAGCAGCTAGTTTGTAAAGTAAATGTTTTGCTCCAAGTTAAATATTCAGATTACAAACTAAATACGTTGGTGTGACCTAATTATTTAATTTGTAAAATAAACATTTAAGTCTAAATTAAACATTTGGCTTGTAATATTATTATTTAGTTGGAAACTTTAACATGAATAATCATGGTGAAAATATTACTTAGAAAAACGAACCACCTATTTTTTTACCTTCTTCTAGTTTAACTTAATTGCTGCAAAAATTATGTTTGATTTTAAATGGCACCACACAGATATGTGCAGAAATAAAAATTATTAATACTTTAAACTATTATTCACAGCATTTTAACCTATTAAAATTTTAATTATATTTCAGTTGATTGCATTTTGCTGCTTCCACCAAGTCTCAGAATTAGTTTTCTGAATTATACCGTACCAAATATAATTTTTTTCTACAGTCTTTGTATAAACCCAGTTACTAGGAACTACTTTTTCTTCTGCCTTCCACAGTACAACTCATTAACTATTCAGGAAAACGGTCAGATCAGATAGATAATAATATTAACTGCATTTTGCGATGTAGGTGATGACTAACATGCAGTTACTGTGTTATTTATAAATGGTGTATTTTACTGGTAATTCATCTCGAGTCCCAGTATTCATGCGCTCATGCCCGGGAAAGCACCTGGCTCACGTGATCACGGTTCACAAGCTGTAGCCAGCGCCGCTGGGCTGCTCATTGGTCCAGCCGACAATTGCGCGGCAGTCTTTGGCGGTGTTCTAACCGGTTCTAACCGAACAGCGGCAAGAAAGAAAAAGAACAGGAGGAAAGAACTTCAGCTGCAGGAATAAAGGGATTCGCAACGTTCTCCAGTCTGCTGCAGGACGACGAAGACTGTTTTCTCGACGTAGATGCGTGGAGCATCACTGCATGTAAGTGCCCTTTCTCTTTACTGACTTTTAGTCAAACATTGCTTGCTCAGACTAGTCACCGATATTTGAGAAAGGATAAGTTTGAGTTAACTGCCGTTCTGGTTCAAAATGTCTTACACGTGTACTGTTTGTAAATTCAAAGCTGTGTCAACTCCCGCATTTATTCGACATGTTAAAATGCACAGAAATGTCGCTAACATTAGATTTCACTGTGGCTATGCAAATTGTCCTTCTGCTTTTTCAACAGTAATTGCTCTTCAAAAGCATATGTACAGAGTTCATACGACCACAGTTAAATCAAGGGCGCAAACGCAAGGACATGCTTTAGCTTTGTCATGCAAATTTGAGGGGTGTACCTTTGTGTCAGAGCGTGTAGCAACCTTATGGGAGCATCTGCAGCTACACAAGTCAGGTGGGACAAAAGTGCCTTGCCCCTTTGATAACTGTCCAAAGACTTTTTCTGTCCGTTCATCTTTCACCTCACACATCAGTCTGAAACACAAAGCAATAATTTGCACCTCTATTGCTGCTGCTGCCAGCACAGCTAGCTCCATGGACACTGAAATGACTAAAACAGCTCAACCAGGTTTAGATGACAATCGTGAAGCAGAAGTGTTGGATGGTGACACTGAATTAGATGAGAATGAGTTCATGACCAGTTTGGCCTTGTTCTATCTCCAGATGCAGGCTAAAATGCTGCTGCCTACCAGCATGATTCAAAAAATAATTGAAGAGTTCCAGCAGGTGCACAGTTCAAGCACAGCCCATCTTTTGTCTAAGCTGCATCAAGATTTGACTCAGTTAAATGTGCCTGAAAATGAAATCAGAAATCTCATTGATAATCTGTCAAAAAACGACCTGATGAAAAGATGCAATGAAGGAGTTTTTAGAAGTGATCAAACACGGAAAACGCTTTTCAAGCGTGAATTCAATTATGTTGAGCCAACAGCGATTTACCTGGGTATTGACAGAAATGGAAAAGAGAGATTTTGCCAGTATGTGTCTATTAAAGAGACACTCAAGGCATTACTTAGCCAAGGATCAGTTCAAGAGCAATATCTCCAAGCAAAATCTGAAACATCAACTCCTGATGTCCTCGAAGATCTGAGAGATGGTAAAATCATAAAAAACAATAAATTATTAAATGAATCACCATCCTCAGTAGGTATAATCTTATATCAAGATTCATTTGAAGTTGCTAACCCCCTTGGTTCTGGCAGAAAGAAGCACAAGATCTTGGCTATGTATTTGACGCTAGCAGAAATCACGGCACACAACAGGTCTTCCGTTGACCAAATGCAACTAGTTTTGTTGTGCAGGGAGGAGGACTTCAAATTTTTTGGCCAAGAAAAGGTATTTTGTGCTGCAGTTAATGACCTGAAAGAAATTGAAGACAGTGGTATTCATGGTCCTAGAGGGAATAATGTGAGGGGTACTGTTTTGGCCATAACAGGAGATAATCTAGGATCTCATTCCATTGGAGGTTTTACTGAAAACTTCAGTAGAAGCAGATACTTCTGCAGATATTGCCTCATTGACAGGGAAACCTGGGAGCAATCTCCAACAAAACCTGGTCCAGCTAGATCAGTAGAGACCTACAAAAACTGTGTGGCAGAGGGGGAAATGGCATATGGGGTAAAGTTTGACTCTGTGTTCAATCAGCTGAAGTATTTTCATGTTTGCCAGCCAGGCCTCCCTCCATGTCTGGGTCACGATCTGTTTGAAGGGATTGTTTCTGTTGATCTTGCTCTATATATAAAGCACTTAGTAAAGATTGAGAAACAGTTCACATATAACCACATAAACAGGATAATATCATATTTCCCCTACAAAGGCAGCGATGCCAACAATAAACCATGTGAGGTAAAAGCAGATGGCGAAAAGCTTGGTGGCCATGCTGCTCAGAACTGGTGCCTCTTGCGTCTCCTTCCTGTAATGGTTGGGGACAGAATAAAAAATCCCCTTGAAAATGATGTTTGGCAGTTGTGTCTCAAGTTGAGAGAGGTTGTTGAGCTAATATGTGCACCGAAGATCCACAAAAACCAAGTTGCATATCTTCAAATGCTTATTGAGGAGTACCTTGAAATGAGAAGAAAAAAATTCCCAGGAAATTCACTGCAACCCAAACATCATTACCTTGTTCACTACCCTGCGCTTATCCTCCATTTTGGTCCACTTATTCGATTATGGACGCTGCGTTTTGAAAGCAAGCACAGTTATTTTAAACAGTGTGCAAGGAAGCTTCATAATTTTAAAAATCTCTGCAGCACTTTAGCTGAAAGACACCAGCTGCTGCAAGCTTACTTGCTTGCTGGCAGATTCTTTCCGCCATTGCTTCAAATAGGGGAATCCATGAAGTTCCATGACAAACTCTACCAGATCGCAATACAGAGAGCTGCCAGTCTCCGTGACCTTCATCCAGAGAACACTTTTGAAACAGCCTCTGTTACATTTAAAGGGACGCTGTACCAAAGAGGCATGGTTATTGTTGTCAACCAAAATGACACAGGCTACAAGTTTGGGAAAATTGTGCTCATACTGATTAATCAGTCATGTGTGCATGTTGTTGTTGAGCTGTACCAGTCAGTGCGTGTTTTGGATCTCGGTGTACACTGTCTACAAAACAGTCATGATGCTCATTACGAGTGTGTGTCTATGGACAGTCTTGCAGACTACTATCCATTGGCCACATATAATCAGTTTAGTCTGAACTTGATTGCCTTGCACCATTCAGTGTGTTACAGGTAAAAGACATGGACTCCATTGAGCATGCAATACAGAGCGTGCTACCACAGCTACAGAGGGAGAAGGTGGAAGCAGTGATTCACGAGTTTGAAACCACATTGGGTGTGGAAGGGCCAGATGATCTTCAGTTTATCAAAGAGGCAGACATCAGTCACCTACTATCACCCATTCAGTGCAGAAGATTGATTAATTCTTTCAAAAGTCGTAAGCTGTCTCAATTAGCCTACATGTTTATGTTCACTGCTATTGTATTTTGATGATAATGACTATTAAGATGAAAAATGTTGGAATGAAACAAAATTAACCATTATGTTTTTTGTGCCTATGTCAATTTGTTATGCAGATCCAAAAAGTCCTCAGCCTATCACCTCCTCACCCGTTTCTTCCCCCTCTAGCTCATTTTCAAATGAGCCTTACACCAGTCCATTAACCAGTCCACAAGGACACAGCAAATGGGTAGACGGATTTCAGGTGCAATGGGACAAAATGAGGCCCGCTCTCAAAAGAGCCATTGATGATGGTAATCGTCCAGAGCCAGGGGATCGCAGACACATGGTGAAAGTCATTGTTGATTCCATGAGAGAACACTGCTTGAACCCGACACGAAAAGACTGCACAACAGTAGCAAAAGCTATAACTCAGATGTATCCTGGCAGCTTTTTAGATAAAACAGATGAGGGAGAAATTATTGGATGTGGATACTTCACTTTACTGCAGCAGCTGAAAACCAGAGTTGAATATGTCAACAGAGACAACACACTCTCCCGCCTGAGGAGGCCCAGAAGGTCAGACACAAGTGATGATGACCAGCCGCCACCACCTGCCAAATGTGCTAAAATCGACAGTTATGGTTGTATTAACTGGCAGCCACAGGAGTATCCAGAGGGGGAAACGGCTCAATCACTAGAAGAAAAGAGGAAAGAAATGATAGATATTTTTACTCAAGATGGACCAAAGGCAGCTGAGAGAGGAAGGGTAAAGGAACTTATGACAAATACATATTCAAAACAGCGAGAAGACATCAATGCTGACCCATCTCCCAGCATTCTGGACATAAGTAAACGGTGGCCATTTCTCCTGTCTTGGAAGCTCTTACTTTCCCACTTCACTACCCTGACTGGTGTTGACCTGTACACCAGACTGAAGGATGACATGGATAAAAAGGGGAAGAGGCTCCTGGAGTACTTCGGATGTCAGGTGATGAGTTGGACCAAGGAAGTTAAAGCTCTTCTGAAAGATGCTTTAAAGGCAAACCGAGAGGGCACAGATGGTCTTGCAGCACTCCTGGTGATGATGACCCATTTCAAGGAAGCAGAGGACGCCCTTTTCATCCTTGCTGATGTAAGTTATTATATTGGTCTTAAATAATACTTAATGTAAAAAGTTCTTTGTTAATTGTAAATAGGGATGCACCAATACACTTTTTTTCACTTTTGACACCATTATCTGAGGTTTAGTATCAGTCGATATTAGTGCTCAATTTGTGAATCAAACCTTCCCGGAACGCAAATACTGGGGGGGGGGGTGTTCGCAGGAGTTTTTGACAATTAAAATTGCGCCCACATTTTCTAAGTTAACACAACTCTTTTGACAACAGTAGTTTCAGCATCTTTACTGTCCCCCTGCTTTAGCACTCTCCCCTCTCCCCCTACGCAGCGGCCGCACAGGTGCTCCTGTCAGAGTTCCTGCTGCTCTAAACATTAAAATAATTATTTCATTTTCTGTTCCTCATGTCTGATTACATTCAATGGTGTCTGTTTGTTGCAACCAGCAGGTACAAAAACTAACTTGTTTTCATTTGACTATTTTTATGTCCTGTCTGTTTATTATCTTCCTGCATCTCCTCTCAATCCTAAAGAGAAACTGCTACCTGGGTTCATATATATTCACCTTATGAGTTACCTTTGAACTGCAGTTCTAAAAGATCTACCGACCGCAAAAACAGCAGTCTGCGCGCCAGCCACACTGGTGATGAAGTCACCGGAGGACAAAACAGGTGATGCGCTCCGCCCCACAGCAGCGAAAAGCATCAGGCACAAATAACAGACAGAAAACATAAAAGGAAATGAGCCGACATGAACGATCGCGTGTTAAATTTGTTTTTGAGGTGGTGACACCTGATTGAATAATGTTACTGTGGCCGTGCTCAAGACGCAGATGTCTGGAGCACGTCAACGATCAGAGCTTTGCACCTATAATCTCCGGAGAGTCTGCATGAATAATGTAATATCAGTAGAACCAGGATCGTTTTCGGGCTCCCCCTGGGTGTGTAAGCTGAGGGCTTCCAGGGGAGCCTGTCTTCTTTTGGGGTGAGTCGGGGTCCCTTCAGCTGACCCGTAGTTCAAACCATGCGTATAGCACAAGTTGGTTGCGCGAGTTGCCGGATCCTAGCAGACAGTTGCCAGAACGGTCCTTTGAAAATAAGACAGTTCCTGGATCTTGTTCCGGCGAGATCCGGCTCAAATTAAGCCCTGGTCGATATTGATCTCATACCGATACAAAAATCCAACACTTTATTGCATAATGAACTACGTATGAAAAAGACTGCACTGCAAAAACTGATTTCTAAGAAAGTAAAAACACTCCTTTTTAAACATTTTTCTTTTTAGTCCAAACAGATAAAAAAAAATTCCCCAGAAAAATAGCATTACTTAAAATTAGCTAAAAATTCTTAACTATGATCCAGATTTTGTAGTTTTGAGTAAAAAAAAATCTGCCAGAGAGGTAAGCGGTAAGAGGTAAAAAGTTGCTTGGCTAGAATTTGTAAAACTAGCAAATAAATTGATTGTTTTTTTACTTAACTTGAGCAAAACCTTGCGAGACTTCATAACTGCTGCCTTTTAACTATGAACTGCTTTAAATTCCCTCCAAATTGACGGTCAGTCGAAACAACGGAAAATTTGCAATACGTGCTGGAACAGAGCACGTTGCTCTTTTGCCGCTGACCGCTCCTGCATGTCGCCTCCTGTGGGTCGAACCCTTAATAAACACTAGAAATCCAAGAGGCCTTTGCAGCGCTTTGCTGCCCGGGCCTAATTAAAAGACAACTTAGATGTGTTTTTCCTTTTTCTTTCTTATTCTAATGCTTTGCTGGAGTATTAGATCGAGAGCAAAATAATGTGATCAAAGCATCCCTAGTTGTTGCATTTTGCGTTTTGTCCTGTTCTCTCTGAGCCTCAGTGGATATACCAGGGACTGTCTTCTACATTTGCCAATTGTAAAACTTAAAAAGGAGTCTGTTAAGCTGTGTTAAACACTGTTTACTGTGTTTTTATTTATTTATTTTGTAAAAAGTTTAATTGTGCATTTTGTTCATCTCAATTCATCAGGTTACAACAACTCCTGCTGATGCAGAGGAACAGTTCGTCCTCCCAAGCACCCCAAGGCTCATCGCACTTGGTAAAACTGTCATTTAGTAAAAGCAGATATAGAGAAAAATAAATCCTAAGTTGACATTAAGACTAGTGAGGAAGTGTCATTACTGCAGTGCCCGGGGAGAACATTCCAACTATGACTTGGTTGGCTGGGGATGAGACAATGATCATCCCCAGCCAACCTCCTGCCCACTCAGCCACAGCAACACTTTGCCAGGAAAGAAGGTTTGCGAAGCAGATCGCTCACGAAATTCGTGTGCTGCCTGCTTTTCCTCTATTCACATCAGGCACAAAGTTTTCCGTCGCAATCAACAAGCGCTTCTGCTCAGCTGTTGCATTTCATTTTTTAACTATGTTTACCAGGTATTAGCCCCCATTTACTGCTCTTTTCCTGTTTAAAAACACCCCACGTGCCTTTGCTGTTCTGTGTGTGTGCACACTCAAACACCCTACCTATTTATATCTTCGGAAACTGCGTCGATCCTGCTCAGCTCTTGTGTAATTAGACCAATTCCTTTAAAATTGGGTTCGTAAATAACTTGGTGTTTTTGGTATGAAACAATGCTACTGTATATATTTATCTTTGAATTAAACGTATTTGTTTATCTAAGCAAAACAGGTTCTCCCCCTCCCCATAGTTCAGCCTACACTGCGGGAATGGGTGTGTTTAATTTTCATCTCTAGTCTGTTTAGATACACAAATATGATTGCATTTATCAATCGGTGTTTTGTTTGAAAAATAGCTTTATTTTGTTAAATTTCATGGCCTGCCTCTTCTGTCTTTGACTTCCTGTCAGAACTGATGCAGCTCCCTTTCATAAAAAATAGAGCACACGCCAAAGCAATTGTCACATGGCGTGAGCCTTCCCAGTGCTTCGCAGCTGCTGTGAACGACACCATAAGTCAACAAGGGCGCCGAATAGAAGCGCTCTTTGTTCCACGATGCTTAGCATCACTTCTGTGTCTGATGGGAAGTATGTATCAGACATTACTTATTTGTAATTCAATTGTTGTTTTATATTTGATTATTGCAGGAGACACTATGTGGTCTGCGAACAAGTGGATGCTATCCATAGAGGGCAGAGTTGTAATCCCACTTTTGCCTCCCATACCGGATTTTACAACTGCCTTGGCTGTCCTGTTTGCCAGTTTCTATGTATTCAACATAGAATATCAGGTGGAAGCAGTCACAACACTGGAATTCGTTCAGAGGTATTGCTAATAACATTCTAACTTAACTTTGAGCTACAATTAAATTCAAGTTTATTTACAAATATTTAGAAAAATCTTAGAACTCTTCATAGTGCTGAAAGAATAGTAATTTAAAATTAGAACAGTCGGACAATAACTAAAATCATTTGCTCATACAAATATGTTCATTCAGGACAATAAACGCTGTAAGTCTAAATATCCAATCGGCGCCAAAATCATTACTATGTTTTAGCTGCACCTTGACTCTAAAGCTGCTATTCGTAATCTGCAAAATAAACTAGCTTACTCACTCAGAACTCTCACCCCTCCCATCAAGTAGCAGTCCTAGGCCATGCCCCCCTGAGGAAGTGCGGTGATGTTCTGCTGCAAAATGTGCTACAGGCGTAATGAGTCATGGAGCCACGTACATGCAGAAGTCTGTTTGTCGGGTGGGATTGTTTAATCATTGGTTTTGGACCAATCCATGTTTTTGGCTGAAGTTTAGACAAAAGAACCACTTAATTATCTATATTTTTCTTTAATCTCCACAAAATATTTCTAAGAATGTTGTGTTAAAATGTTAATAGGCATGAAAAAATCTGTTAGATTACTTATTTTGCAGATTAAAGATAGCAGCTTTAAATTTCTTATCCTTTCATGTTGATTCCTATAAGCTTTTTGATCTGTTCTGAGAGGACTTTTGTTATGATGATGTGCTCACCAAACTGTCCATAAGTTATATTAACTTATATTTTCATTTCTATTAGGTTCCTTGCCAGGATCAATCCAAATTCCATCAAGTGCACAGCCAAGGTCCAGACGAGCAGAAAAACTGGCAGAACTGTGAAGAGAAAGACAACGGATATAAATCCACGCGTCGTTTCATTCATGAACGCCTTCTCTGCATTTGACTGGCAAAACAGCTAGCTTAAGGTGAGGTTCTGATACTGGTCACTACATCTATGAAGATGGGTTTGGTCTTTATTTGTCTTAAGTAGCGTAAACATATG